TACCTCTTTAAATATTGCAGCGATTTTTATATAGCACCGGATGTCCTTTTCATCTCTAGTTCAGAGCAAGATCGAAGTTTTTGGCTTTTTTTGAATATGAAGCATCAGGTTTTTCCTTGCTTGTAATTTATAAGCATACATGGTCGGCCCGCATGTGACGTAGGATGAATTATGTGTCATTCATTTGAATAAATTTCTTCCGATGCTATACTTTTCTTAGAACAGACATGAATTGTTAGCCTTTTGCATCTCATGAATAGGATGAGATGCTAAAGAACATGCAGATGAAACTTGATAATTTGTTGGAGCAAATGAGCTTTGTGAAAGATCATTCTCCATCATCAGGCTGCAACTTTCCGTTAAAAAATGAGCAGATCACTATTGCAGAAATGCTGAAGAAAAATGAAGCTATATTCTTCCATGGAAGTAGTCGAGTTGCTCATTTCAACCAAGATGATGGCATTCTTCCTAACTGTCATAACCAATCCATTAAAGCAAAGGTACAGGCTTTCAAAGTAGGCTTTGTGATTATTTATTTTCTTATTTGATGCTTCTGATTAAACAATATCTAACCGATATTTGTTCATAGGATGTTTGCATGACTGAGCCGAGCAAAGAAAGATTGATCGAGAAGAATTATGAGATAGTAACTGAGCAAGAGGAACGTCGAATGTCTGATCTATCTGATTTTTCGAGTGTTGCATCTTCTGTAGATACTCAGGTGAGCCGACTAAAACATTTTTGTTCTATTCATGAATGAGATATAAATTGACTTTGGTTGGCCAGTTTTAGTGCTTGGTATTTATTTCTGTTGCTCTCAATCTGTTTTGGTTTTTTTTTTCTTCTTTTCCTTTTTTCATCTTTTTATTCAAATTTGTGTGTTCCACAACTGTTCCTCTCGCTTAGACAAGGCTTATCAATTTATCAATCCTTCTATTTTGGTTTATGTTATTTTATCAATAACTATATTCTTTGCAACCATGTGACGTCATTGTGAATATTTGTGAAATTGTTTGTGCATTGGTCTTGACAAGAGCTTGTCTATAAATATATGGCACAAGTATTTGTCTATGCACAAGTCAAGTACAAACTATACACATTATTCACATCTAATGCAAATCATAATTCTTTGCATAAAACTTTTGCCCTCCATTACAGCTCTAATTTACTGGAGACAGTGTGGAGGGCTGGGTTATAACAATAGAACATAATACCATGGTGTATTTGACATGACATGGCATAAACAATATAAAGTGTTAAGAGAATAGTATCTTAATTTTATGCTGCGTAAATGTTTACTTAGTAGAGTTCAAGTTGGATGGTTGAAGTGGAGGAATGCATCGGGCATGTTGTGTTATAGAAAAGTACCTCTCAAACTTTAGTGAAAATTCTATAAGATGGTGGTAATACCTGCATTGTTTTATGTTTTAGAACTTGACCATTAAAAGAGAAGCATAAAATTAAGTTAGGTGTTACAGAGAGGAGGATGCTCAGGCACTATAGAAAATCTTCCATTACTGGCGGCAATTTCCGACGGTTTATATATTTTCTTGCAGTTCTCAGACTGTTTAAACACAGCTGAAATAAACTGCGTTGGAAATGGAAACCAGTGGCATATTTCTGGCCGTAATATTTTTCGGTGGTTTTCTAGCGTCTACAACAACTGGAATTTAATGGACCCAAAATCGCAGGTAAACCGCCAGAAGATTTTGGCGAAAATATTGTCGGTGACTATCTGTTTTTATTGGCGGTATTTTTAGGTGGCGACATCGGCATCAAGAAAAAAAATTGGGGCAAAATTGCCTCTATCCGGTATCGAAGTTTTTGCTGGCTAAACCGCCGGTTAACTGTTGGAAACTTATAGCGGTTGCAAAAAAAATTGACAACACCCTCTCTATCCAAACAAATTTTCACAATTACCTGCAGACAATTCAAAACTCAAAAACAAATACTTCTAACCATTTACTCAGGCTGTTCAAAATATAATATATTAAATATACTAACATCCACAATAAACAGATATTATAATAGTTCAAAACATAAAATATATTAATTTCAATTTGTTAAACAATCTTTAAAACATAAAACAAGTTCTTTCACATCCATACGTTCCAAACAACGATTAAAAAGGCGGAAGCCCAGGTACGCATAACCTTCTTAACTTTGCCTTGACTTTTAGATCCGACCCCTCTGTGAGGCGTACGCACTGAGGCGCGACTCAAGGCGAGGCGAAGCATTTGCGCGATGAGGCTTACGCCTCGTTGGATTCGGCGGAGCGTGCGCTTATTTCGCACGGGGCGTAGACTTCAGTTTGTAACGCCTCGAAGCGAAACGAGGCACCGCTTCGATTTGTAAGTATATAGATCGAGCGGTGAGAGTCGTATAAGAGTCGAGTATTATGGTAACATACCTGCTTCTGCTTTGGGTGAGAACTGAAAGGCGAACTCCGCCGACTTCAACGACCACAGTTCGGTCGAGTTCGAACATAGCTGGAGGCGATCGAAGGTAACAATTTATTTCTTCTTCTTCTCTTGCTTCCCGTAATCTTTCCGTCATTTGCTTCATGTCTCGCTTCTTCTTCTCCAGCTTCCTGTAATCGAAGGTTCTTTTTTCACGGCTAGGTAACGATCTTTCTTCCCGTTATTTGCTTCATATCTCGCGAAAGATCCTGCATGGAAATATGGAACTCAAGTTGAAGTGTCAGGCGAAGGTGCAAAGAAGGGATATGTTTACATGAAATGTAATTTCTGTGAGAAACGCATAACTGGTGGCGTCAAGAGATTGAAGGATCATCTAGCCTGCACTCATGTCAATGTGGGACCATGTGCAAAAGTTCCTGATGAGGTGAAGAAGGAATGTACAAATTATTTAAAGAAGTTTGCCACCACAAAGGAGGTCACACAAAGAAATATGGAAGAGATGATAGGAAACTCTTCTTACTATGGATCACAGCATGAAGGTTCCAGTACTGAAAGCCATCTAGTTTCTTCTGACCGAGACATAAACTAGTACTGGAAGCCATCTTCAAATTCATAGTTGACATAATATTTTGTTATTTTTTGTCATTATTTATAATTTTAAATTAATTTATTTTAATCATTTTGAGGCTTACGCCTCAATTCCCGATTTCGCCTTCAAAAACCTTGGTTCCAAATACAACGTGTTCTTCAAATAAATAACAATTAACTAATCATTGTCCGTGTCTTCTCTGCCCTATGATTTAGGTATAGGCTCTTGCTCCTTTTTATTCTGATTTTTAGCTCGATATGATCGTAGTGCCATCTGTATCTCAGCTTAAATCTTTCTCATCTCCTCTAAAATTGTGTTGTAGATCAAATGAATAGAACTATCTCTAAGCATCTCAGGAGCATGAGTTTGCATGCAGACCTACCCAAACATTTCTGGGAAGAGAATAAGTACTATTGTTTATTTGATCAATCGTGGTCCATCAATTCCTTTAAATAAGGGGTTACTTGAGAAGCCTGGAGTGGGGAAGTGGTAAGTTTTCCTCACCTCAGTGTTTTTTGATTGTTCATTCTATGTTCATATTGATGCAGGATTTAGTAGTAAGCTAAAGTTTCAGTATGAGAATCAACTGGGATAGAAGTGCATGTATACTAGAGTTTTCTCAAGTTGTGTATGTTGAAAATGTGCTATAGAGATTCAACATTAGAGAGGCAAAGCTAGTTTGCACTTCATTGGGTAGTCATTTTCAACAAGTTGAGGAAATTTTTCCTAAATCTGAAGCAGAACAAGAGCAGATAGAGAGGACTTCATATGCTCCAAAAATTGGAAATTTGATGTATGCTATGATGTGTATGAGACTAGATATATCATATGCAGTGGGAGTTGTCAGTAGATTTATGAGTAGCCCAGAAAAATTTCATTAGGAGGCGGCTAAGTGGATTCTTATATAGTTGAGAGGATTAGTTTACAAAGATCTTTGCTTTGGAGGTATAGGGATTAGTTTATAGGGGTATTTAAATTTTGATTTTGGTAGAGATCTTAATGATAGGAGGAGCACAATAGGTTATATCTTCATCTTAGGAAAGTCTACAGTGAGTTGGGTTTCTAAGTTATAGATGATTATTGTGCTCTCAATCATAGAAGCTGAGTACATTGCTATCACTGAGGCCAACAAGGAGATGATATGGTTGCGAAGTTTCTTAGCAGAACTTAAATTGGCAAGGGGCAAAAGAATGAAAAGTTGCATAGTGACAACATGAGTGCTATTCATCTAGCCAAAAATATTGCATTCCATGCCAAGATGAAACGCATCAAGTATTGATATCATTTTATCAGATCACTTCTAGAAAATTGTCAGTTATCTTTGGAAAAGATACGCATGTCCCAGAATCCTGTAGACATGCTGACAAAAATGGTTTCAGTTGATAAATTGAAGCTGTGCAGCTTCAATTGGTCTTCATGAAGGATGAGAGCAGGTTTGAGACACACGACAGGTATTATGATTGGTGTTGCGCGCAGATCGGGAGAAGAATTGATCACAATCAGTTCCAAGTGGGAGATTGTTAGTGTGTGTGGAATTTAATTGTGCCGATTAATTGGATTGCACAGTTGCCACTAACCTCAACTTAGTTTGTTGTGTTCATTGGGGGTGGAGGAGAGGGGGAGGGGGAGGGGAGGTGTTCCTCCCTTGCTTGGGTTGCAGTGCAAAGCAAGCAAAAGTTTTTTTTTACAACGCCCTAGCGTTGTGTACCCGGGAACCCCAACATTGCATAGTTTGCTTGGAGAAAAGCAAAGAGCAGAGCGCTGCGGTGCTCAAGATATGGCATTGCGGCGCCATGAAACTGACTAGTGAAAGAGCGTTAAGTGCTGCATTGCTCCAAACTTACACCGCAATTCTGCGACTGGGCAGTTTTTCTTTCTTTCTTTTTTTAAGTGTGGTGTCCTATCTCTTAATTTGTTCTTGTTTATGAACGGTGTAAGTGAGAAGAGAAGCTTGGAAAGAGCGAGAGAAAAAAGAGATATGTTCAAATATTCTTCTAATTTTCATAGTGAATTTCTTGGTGTGGTGTGGCTCTATAATTTTTTCCTAATTTTGGATTTTACCATGATAAATCCTTGTGTTATGTTTTTTCCGATATATTTCTATTTTCTTGTTTGTTTCATTGCTTGGTTTACTTGGATCCCCAACATTGACTATTATTTTTCATTTTGATAAATTATTGTTTATTGATTCTTAAAGAAGTCTTCTAGCTTTCCCATGTGGTGCGCAAGTGAGGCATGCCAAAAAACCTCGTCTCGCTAAGAGAAGGCAGGCAATCTTCCTGACATTTTTCTTGCTAAGTGAAGAAAATAATTCGAGGGTTCAAAGATGTTAGTTCTAAGAAATAATAATTAGGCATAATATTAATGTTGCCATGCAATTTCTCAAATCCATCCGACCTTTCTTTCCTTCCTTTCCTAAACACAAATTGATCTTCACTTGCTTCTGATGTATATTTATCTTTTGAGAAAACTGGGGATCATAATCCAAATAATTTATAACAATTATTTGCTGAATTTGTTAGCCTGTACAGCTGAGCACATTGGCAGCCGAACAGGAGCTTTACAATCTTAGAAAGGAATGTGAAGAGAAGGACGACACCATTAAGGAACTGACAACTGCTGCTCATGTTTCCAATGTTACCTACTCTAAGGTTGTCTTTTAATGCAAAATTCTGCATTTTCTGTTTGTTAAACCTTTCTCTTACGTTGATTTTATTTCTTCTTAAATAGAGGATTACAGAACTGGAAGAGGTTATAAGAAGAAAGAACATGATAATCACAAAGTTAAAAAAGGATATGCTGGTTTTAGATCAACAGGTAAAACCCTCCATAAACTTCAAAAGTACAATATTTTACTGAAACTTAGCGTCGGTGAAAACTTGTTGCAGATTGTCAAATTCACGAGGCTTCGAAGACCATCATATAGGGCCTCTACACAGTCAACCACTTATCATCTACCGCTTATGACTGACAATATTCTCTACGATATGAGCAGCACTAGCCCTTCATCTTCAGACTCTGATTCTCCTCAGAAGGGTGGTGTGAATCTTTCATGTATTCCAACTAATGAAATTCTTCATAAGCTTGATATAACAAAGTTTATGGGCTCTTCTGTCTCAACGCTACAGAAAGCAATGAGCCCTTTCAAGGAAAATTGTGTGAGCATGAAAGATGAAGCAAATGCTTCGGTAAGACCAAGGAAGATTGCTTCATCTATCACAGATCAGAAAAAGTATCGAAGGAGAAACTTGCAGGAAGAGAAGATGATGACTGCGGCGAAGAAATGGGTTTAGATATGCAGTCCTTCCAGTGAGCTTGTACTGTTTGAGATCTTAGCATAGGCAGAGAACTTGCTAATTAACGGTACGCCTGTAAAACTTCAAGGCATATTTTATTTTATTTAGGTTAAAATCCTTTTCAATGAATCAATGAAGTTGATTTTTTTATAGTCAGTTGGTCATAATTATATTGCCCTTTCTCTGAAAATGAAATAAATTCTTCAGGAAAAGGGTCATTTCAAGCTGTAGTTTTAATTCAGCTGGGTGGTGTTTGATTTCATTCAAAATCGATGTGTCATAGTAGTAATTGTAAATGAAGCATATGAGATCACAGAAAAATTCTTGAATTTCTAAAAGTGGTCAAAATTGCTATCACAGATCGATTACTTTGCGCTAACAAAAAGGTCAACGTTCCGGTACTTCTATGCTATGTAGCAGGGTTACTTCTATTTACGAGGCATGCTATATTGAACACATGTCGGATACAGCTTTGCCGTGTCCAATTAAAATATTTTTTAAATTTGCTCGGACACACGTATCGGATACGAT